GAGGAGCCGGCGGCCTCACCGTGGTAACCACAGCGCCGCCGCCACCCCGCCTTGCAGGCCTCTGGACTGTCATCGCCTTTGGGGGTCCGGGCGCTTTGGCCATCGTTTCCGGAAATAGCCCCGCCGGCCTCTGTCAGACACCCCCATCCTCCCCACGCCGCCGCCGCCGCCGCCATGCAAGGGGAGGATGCCAGATACCTCAAAAGGTGACGACTCCCCGAGGCTCGGACCCACCGGGGGCCTGGCTGGGGGTCACGAAGATATATTCTTAGAGGTTCTTGGGGTTGGCCCTGAGGTGTCAGGACAAAGCTGGAAGTTCAGAAGAGGGGCGGGAGACGGGGCGGGGAGCCGTGGAAAGAGAAAGGGAGGGTGCATTGGGGAAAAGAAGAAGGGCCCTTCGGGATGTGAGATGCTGCAGCCTCCCACCTGACTCGGCGGGGCCTGACAGCCCTGACCTGAAGATGGTCTCCTTGCCACACTGTTCGCGGGAGAGGGGCGAAGGGGGTTCACCCTACCCCCCACCCATTCCGATGCTCCATTTTTCCCTAATAGGTAAATCCTGTGGGGGCCTGGAAGTGAAGCCTCCAGGCCCTCTGCTCTTGTCTGCAGTCGGTTCACTGCCGTGGGGTTCCGAAGCGATGAAGGGGAAAGAGGTGGTGGCTTTTTAATGTGCGGGAGGCTGGCTGAGATGCTGCTTTCCAGTCCAGCTTTGTTTTCCTCATCCATTTCGTCCATTTGACTGCCATATTTACAGTATCATTGTTGCAGGAGGTTCATAATTATCAAGAGGTTCGTTCAGGAGCTTGATGTGGAACAAGCCATAATTCTCTAGTTTTAAAACATTTGTAGTATCAATTACTCTTTAAAGAAGAGTGTAAATCTGTTGGGATTACTTATTTGACGGCTGTCAAAGATAAGAGCATCCCAGATGGAAAGGAAGCCTCTCGCTGGACCAAGAATTAGCAGTGACCCAATAGAAAAAAAAATCTTAATCTTTCCATTTTTACTTAAGTTCCTGTTACTGGGTAAATATCCTGAGAAAGTCATGTGTATTCTTTTAGACAGTTTCCTTATGTAAAAATGGGGCAAATATTACCTTATGAAAGCTATGAGGACCAAATATGAAAATACTTAGGTAAAACATGCATGTAATTATTATAAGTCATAATATACTTTTACTGAATGTATTTATTCTGGTTTGGCAGGACCCTGATAATCACGGAAAGATCTTCTAATTTTTAATAGTCTCTTAAAAGGGCTTCAAACAATTATGAAATCAACCAATTAGCCAACTGCACTGTCTCTGTTGGACTGAGGCATATATTGCCTGCCCTTCTCATTTTGTTTAAATGTATCGGAAACTGTCAAATAACCAGATTTCATAAGTAAAATTTTAAAGAAGGAATACATAATCATAGCAAGTATATAGTCAGTATTTCCTCACTGAATTTTGCTTACATTGGGTTTTTAAAATATCTCAATCGAAAATTTTGTGAAAGAAGAAAATAATAAGAAATTGTTTCTCTTTCAGCTTTAAATAGAAGATTATTCTAGAGCAAGGAGCTACTTTATATCATTAGCTTATTTTCATGGAAGATAGTTGTGCCAGAAGGTCATTTTTCTTAGGATTCTTGTACCCGCATGGACCCTTATACATACCCCGATTTATAATTCTCAGTCTGTTGCTTACCTTGAAAAAATAAAAGTGAGTCACTAATGTTTAAAGTAAAATAAGGTCAGAATCTGGAAAGGTTGAACTATACACTTCTCGATTTTGTCTAATTTTGACAAAATAAATAAAAAGTTGCATGGCCTACTTTCAGATTAGAAATATCCAGCCGACATAATCATACAGGCCTGATGATTTAGGATGTCTGAACATTGCATTTTAATTATCAGTTCACCGATAACGATTACATATATTCCTTTTGTAATATTTTTATTTTATAGTTTGTTTTTAACAGGACAGCAGTTATATTTTCAATCTAATTTATTCACTCTAAATTGGGTTAGTTAATTTCAGTCGTGTCATTGTACCATCCCTGAGGAATCTCTAGTCTCTATGCTTCTATGTATAATAGATTATAGAATCAAAAATTGGATTTCATTTCTTTGTTCTGCTACTAGTTAGTATTTTGATTCAACAGCACTTAATAAATGCTCACCAAATTCCTAGTGAATGCCTTTCATTGCTTTGGTCACTGAGAAAATAATTAAATAGGCACATTTCATAACTTCAGTCAGATGTACATACAGGTAAATAGACAGTTGACAGCCAGTTTCTTTCTTTCTTTTTTTTTTTTTTACTTCTACTTAAAGCTTTCAGTTGCTCTTAGAGCACCTACCTTTTCAGCTTCATCTCTGTTCCCACCCCGCCCCCGATAAATCATACTTCAGCCTTACAGAAATAACTTCCTTTAGATGCCTATGTGTTTCAGTGTTAGTTCCAAATTCCCTTCCCAGTATCTGAACTTGCCTTGTTCTTCACCCATATATCTTCCCATCGTATCGCTAGTACCCAGCACAGTGCCTAGAACATAAGTACTCAATAAGTAGTTATTAAATGCAGCGAGAATAAGGCTACAAAGAAAAATGGGCCAAATCATAAAATCTGTAGTAAAGAGTCGAGACTTATAAGAGCGATGGGGAACCATTGAATGATTTTAAGAGGGAATGGCTTTCATTCATTTCAGTTATTTGAAATCCTACCATGTAAAAGTCACTCAGCCTAATGATAAAAAAAGTATTAGATGAATGAGACATACTTTCCCTGCCTTTATGGTACTTACAATGTAGCAAGGAATTCAGACTTGAAACAGTATATTATCAGAAGTAATTATTTTATTGTATTTACGATAAGTGCTATACGTTTATGATAAGTGAAATAAGTACGTGGCCTTTGTGTAAGCTTTTTCACACAGTATAACTTTTCAGTATTCATCTATGTTTTAGCATTCATCAGTACAGTACTTCATTTCTTTTAATAGCTGAGTAATAATCCCTTGTATGGATATAGCACATTTTGTTTATCCATTCATCTGTTGGTGGACATGTAGGCTATTTCCATCTATTGGTTGTTGTGAATAAAACTATTGTGAACATTCCTGTACTAGTTTTTGTTTGAACACCTGTTTTCACTCTTTTGGTGTGTTCTTGAAGTAGTGGCTGGGTTGTGCGCTAATTATGTGTTTAACTCGTTGAGGAACCGCCAACCTATTTTCCATAGTGGTTGCACCATTCTACATTCCCACCAGCAATGGGTAAGAGTTCCAGTTTTTCTATATCCTCATCAACACTTGTTAGTCTTTTTTTTTTTTTAAGTTCTGGCCATTCTACAGGATGCGAAGTGGTATCTGTTGTGGTTTTGGTTTACATTTCCCTGGTTTCCAGTGACATTTAGCATTTTTCGTCTGCGTCTTGGCCTTCGTCTGTCTTTAGAGGAAAGACTTTTTATATGTTCTGGATACTAGACCCTTATCAGATAGATACTCTGCAAATATTTTGTCCCACTTCGTGGACAAAATACTCTTTATAGTATCTTTCATGTGCAAAAGTTTTAAATTTATTTTTTCTTTAGTTGATTTTGCTTCCGTATCTTGGCTATTACCAATAATGCTGCAGTGAACATAGGGTGCATATATCTTTGGCAATTAGTGTTTTTGTTTTCTTTGGATAAATACCCAGAAGAGGAATTGCTGAATCATATGGTAGCTCTATTCTTAATTTTTTGAGGAACCTCCATAGTGGCTGTGCCAGTTTACATTCCCACCAAGAGTGCGTGAGGGTTCCCTTTTCTCCACAACCTCTCCAGCACGTACTGTTTCTTGATTTATTGATGATGGCCATTTTGACAGATGTGAGGTAGCATCTCATCGTGGTTTTGATTTGCATTTCCTTGATGATTAGTGATGTTGAGTATCTTTTTGTGTATCTGTTGGCCATCTGTATGTCCTCTTTGGAGAAACGTCTGCTCCGATCCTCTGCCCATTTTTTATTTGTTTGTTTGGTGTTAAGTTATATGAGTTCCTTATATATTTGGATATTAACCCTTTATCAGATATATTATTTGTGAATATCTTCTCCCATTCCATAGGTTGTCTTTTTGTTTCGTTGATGGTTTCTTTCACTGTAGAAAACCTTTTTTGTTTAATGTAATCCCATTTGTTTATGTTTTTCTTTGTTGCTCTTGTCCATGGAGACATATCCAAAAAGATATTGCTAAGAGTGATGTCAAAGAGTTTATTGCTTATGTTTTCTTCTGGGAGTTTTATGGTTTCAGGCGTTATATCTAAGTCTTTAATCCATTTTGAGTTTATTTTTGTATGGTATAAGAAAGTAGTTATTTCATGTGTTTGCATGCATATGCCCACTTATTGAAGAGACTGTCTTTTCCCCATCGTATATCCTTGTCTCCGTCATTGTAGATTAATTGACCATGTAACAGAGGATTTATTTCTGGGCTCTCTGTTCTATTCTATTGATTTATATGTAGCTTTTTATGCCAGTACCATACTGTTTTGATTATTGTAGCTTTGTAGTATAAGTTGATATCAGAGAGTGTGATACCTTCTACTTTGTTCTTTCTTAAGATTTTTTTTGGCTATTTGGGGTCTTTTGTGGTTCAATATAAATTTTAGGATTAGTTGTTCTAATTTTGAGAAGAATGCCATCGGCATGTTAATAAAGATTGCATTGAATCTGTATATTGCTTTAGGTGGTAAGGACATTTTAACAATATTTGTCCTTACAGTCCATGAGTAAGGTATATCCTTCCATTCATTTTATCTTGTTCAGTTTCTTTCTTCAATGTCTTATAGTTTTCCGACTCCAGGTCTTTCTCCTCTTGGGTTAAATTTATTCCTAGGCATTTTATTCTTTTCGATGCAACTGAAAATTGATTGTTTCTTAATTTCTCCTTCTGGTGGTTCATTATTGGTGTATAGAAACACAACAGATTTCTGTATATTGATTCTGTATCCTGAAACTTTATTATTTATTAGTTCTAATAGTTTTTTGGTTAAGTCTTTATGGTTTTAGTTACCTTTGCTTTGGATGTCATTATTTAAGAAGTTATTGCCAAATCCAAAACATAAGATTTGCCCTTATGTTTTCTTCTAAGAGTGTTTTAGGTTTAGCTCTTAAATGTTTGTCTTTGATCCGTTTTGAGTTAATTATGTCATGTGTGGTAAGGGTCCAATTTCATTTTCTTACATGTGGATGTCTAGTTGGGTCAGCACCATTTGTTAAAGAGATTTTTCTTTTCCTCCAGTGAAAGTTCTTGCTACCCTAGTTGAAATCAATTGACTGTATATGTAAGGGTTTATTCCTGGACTCAATTCTATTCCACTGATCTATATGTCTGTCTTTAGGCTAGTACTTTACTGTTTTGATTGCTATAGTTTTGTAGTACATTTTGAAATCAGGAAGTGTGAGTCTTTCAACTTTGTTCTTCTTTTTCAAGTTGGTTTTGGGTACTCAGGGTCCCTTGTGTCCCTTGTGTTTTCATATGAATTTTAGGATCACTTTTCTATTTCTGCAAAAAAGGCTTTGGAAATTTGATAAGGATTATACTGAACCTCTAGGCCACTTTGGGAAATGTCATCTCAACTGTAAATCTGATTTAAATGCATATGTTAATCCAGACCACATGAAGTTTTTGGAACTAGAAACTGGATAAATACTATTGACATTCTCTAAGTTTTTAATCTATTTCTGTTTTTATATTATAGGAAAGTTAAAGGAGGAAATATTGATGTACATCCATCAGAAAAAGCACTCATTGTCCAATATGAAGTGGAAGCTACCATTCTTGGAGAAATGGGGGATCCCATGTTGGGAGAACGAAAGGAATGCCAAAAAATGTAAGTTTTCTTCATTTATGTACATTTTGAAAGTAGTCATACTTTACAGAAATCTGCTGTTGTTTAAACCTGCATAGATGATAAAATGATTATGCATTTTATTAAACTATAAATACAGGTATATTTATTCCAGAGAAAAATCATGTTTATGTAAGCGAAGTGGGAGCCTACTGAAAAATACCTATTCTGGTTTTTCTTTTTAATAAATGCATAAAATAGAAATAAGCTACTACAAAGCAATTATAAAAGATATGTTTTATGGGACCTTTTAGCTTAATTTAGGAAATTTTTATTTTATGGGATCCTGTGTGCTTGTTTCTTCCCTGGAATTGCAGAAAGTGGTATGATTTCCAAAATTTCCAATGGGGCATGTACCTTGAATTTCATCCCTTCAAAATCTAGCTCTCCGAAAAATCTTAGTAATAAGATAAGCATTTTCTGACTCAGTGAATTGAGCTTAGAACTTCCAATATCCTGTACACTTTCCTTTCTTCATCCGTAATACTTTCAGGAACCCCTTGGGAACTGGCCTTTTTTATTAGTCTATAATTGTGCTGGTGGTGAGTTTGCCTTCCTTCCATAGTTTTGTGTTAGAGAAGGCCTGAGGTCACCTAATATTCTCTCAGCCTTCTAACTTCCATGAAAAAAAATTCAGTTTGGGAACTGGTTAAAAGGAATTTTTAGTGTGTTTTGGTGGGATTAAGTATATTCAGGCTGCTAGGAGTGCGTAGTACAGAATTTAGCACACCAGGATGCACGGTATTTTAAATATATAGCAGTGGTTCTCAACTGGTTGTGATCCCCCCACCCTACCCAGGGGACATTTGGCAGTGCCTGGAAACATTTTTGGTGAGGGGTGCTGATAGCATCTAATAGATACAGGCCAGGGTGCTGCGGAGTAAGAATCCTACAATGCACAAGAGAGCCACCTACAAACAAAGAGGTATGGCCCCCAAATTTTAATAATGCTACAGTTGAGAAACTTTGGTGTATAGCAGCCTAAAAAGAGAAGCTGCTTAGTGTCTTGTTAAGATCCCTAATTTGTCTTTGTATTTGGGTTAGAGGGAGACTAATGACATAGATAATTCATTAAAAACACCAACTTCTTGAATAATCTACTAGATTGAAATACACAGGCATATACACATGCACTGTAGACTTTAACACATTCTCACATTTTTTTGTGTTCTCTCACATTTTCTGTCTTCCATTCGTGTGTTTGTGATTGCTGCCTGCATTTTCTACATCTTGAAAATGTGAAAATCTCTTGAGATCTTATTAATTTTACTGCTAAAGAAAAGAAAAATATCAGGATCTTTGCCTTTAGAATCTCATACATCCACATTTCATGGAGAAATTTGATTTTAGTTCTTAAGAATGCAGTCAGTAGCCCTGTTCAGCTAGAATTAAATGAGAATGTTGTTCCTGTTTGAAAATCTGCAGGCTTTCTAGACAAGGGATATATTCACCGGAGAGCCGGGCAGCCAGAAAGAGTTACTGTCTACGTGGCTAGAGTGAGTGGATTTATAAACCTCAGCGAGCGGAAAACCTGAGTACCTCAATTTTGGGATACTCAACCTTGGCTGCATAAGATCTGGAGGGAAATCATATTGTGGGACTAAAAAGAGAATGTGGTCTGTTGATAAGCTCGAGGTTTTATCAATGGCAGCAGCTGAGGGTGAGCATTGAGGAGACACTCATACGGATTGAGATGGGTCTGAAGTGAAACTGTCATTAAATTGGGGTGGTCAGCGTGATGGCTCAGGTCCAGAAGACTTGTATTTCATTCTTCTTTATTGGGCAAAAGAATGTATAAACCCATCTTTAGCAGAGTCCCAGTTTTCTGAAGATTTCTTTAGAAGAAACTGACAGTTATGTTTCAAAACTAATAAGGGTATTGTTCTTAATGGGCAAGGGCTGCCTAGTGGAGATTCTATTTTTTGATTATAGGAATAACCAATAAACATACAGATAACATTTTCAAAAACTTCTAGCCCTACCTGTTTTTTCTTTGTCTTTTATAATAGGGGAAGTATTTAGGAGAGAGACCTATACACTAAAAATGATCTATTACTTTTAATGGAAAGAAAATGAACCAGCTAATATATATGTTGGTAGAAACATCTAGAAAAAGATAGAAAACTGCTTTATCAAACTGAAACAACACTACACACCCATTAGCTGGGAATATTCCAGAACCCTGACAGCACCAAGTACTGGTGAGGATGTGGAGCAACAGGAACTCACTGCTGGTGGGAATGTAAAGTGCTGAAGCCACTTTGGAAGACAGCTTGGCAGTTTCTTACAAAGCTAAACGTAGGCTTCTGATACACCCCAGAAATCGTGCTCCTAAGTACTAACCAAATGAGTTGGAAACTTAAGTCCACACAAAACCTGCTCTGCCATAAATGTTTATAGCAGCTTTGTTTATAATTGTCAACAATTGGTAGTAACCAATATATCCTTCGGTAGGTAGATAGTAAACAGCGATGCATCCATGCAATCAAGTATTATTCAACACTAAAGAGAAATCAACTGTCAAACTATGAAAAGACATGGAGGAACTTAAATGCATGTCACTAAATGGGAGAAGCTATGTTGGAAAAGCTAGATCCTGTAGGATTCCAACTATATAACATTCTAGAAAAGGTAAAACTAAAGTAAAAAGATAAGAGGTAGTCAGGGGTCAGGGGATGGGGGAGGAGAGAATAGGTGTAGCACAGAGCAGTTTTAGGGCCAAAAAACTATTCCGTATGAAACTACAATGGCGGATACATGACGTTTTGCTCTTGTCAGAGCCCATAGAACTGTACAACACAGAGTGAACCCTAATGTACACTGTGTCCTTAATAATAATGTGTGAATATTGGTTCATCAATTGTAACAAAAGCCCCACACTAATGCAAGATGGTAATAATAGAAAGAATTTTATGGGGAGAGAGATAATTTGGGTATATATGGGAACTCTATATTTTATGCACAATTTTTCTGTAAACTTAAAACTGCTCTAAAGACTAGAAAGAAATTTTTAAAATGTACGTTTATAGCATTTCTCTTGTGTCGATTCTCAGTCAGATTTATAGCAACTGTCAAGATTTCCCAGTCCCTTGCTAAAATAAAACGTGGAGTTTTTTTAGTTTTTCTCTGAATAGACTCTCCTTTCTAGCTCTGCATTCTGATGTGCAGTAATATTATACAAAAATATAATCAAAAGGTAGAATTATAAAAATATATTTAAAAGGTAGCTCATAGAATCCCAAGCGGACCAGATTTAGGGCTGACTACATAGCAGGAATAGTATCTACATCACTCTACTGGACTTATTTCAGGAGTTACCATCTACATCTGAATAATTTCATAGTTGCTCAGTACAGGACCTTTTTCTGAGATCTCTGCCTTTGCTGCCTCTAATACCTTGACGTGTCTCCAAATATTGGCCATCTTCCTCAAGAAATAATTCTACACAGTGGCTACATTTTTATATATCTCTTTGAACGGAAGCCTTGCATGAGCACATCTGCTTGAAAGAATCTTCTGCCACCAGTTTGAGTCTTCACCCTGAACCTTATTTGTTTTTATAGCTTTTCCTGGTACCGTGAATCTGTGTAAATGCAAATGTTTCCAGACTTGGAATAGCCTTTTCTTATCAAGCTTCTGATGAATCTCCTGGACTAAAATAAAAAAGAGAAGCTGATTTATTATTTTTTAAAAAATACTAACAAGTACCTAATGTATTCATTTGTTCTTAAGAATTCTTCATATAAGGTTTAAAATGCATCCTGCTTCCTTTCTTCTATAATTTCCACTAGGACAACTGAATCCTAAAATATCAATATTGTGTCTTGTCTTAGCTGAAAAACATAAATGATTGTGACTGTGGTCAAGAAAATGATTAATTTTTGGAGATATGGATTCTCACATCCAATGACTAAAGACTTTGTATATATTACATCAGAAAGACTTTTAAAATAAGATCTCTGAATATGCTCTCCTGCCTAGAAGAGGCAGATGTAGGTTTTATGTTCTTTTTATCTTGCTTGTCCAGCTCAAAGAAAATTATCACTTTGCATTTTTCTAAGCCTAATTATATCTGATACTTTATTATATTTTACTAAAATTGTCTAAGGTGCATTTACATGCTTTCTACATTATTTAAAGAAGTATTGTTTAAGTTATCACTTGCTTTAATAATACCTGAGTTGGAAAATTCCGATCTGCTTGCAGCATTCGTCTTAAGAGTCTCAATGCCAACACAGATATAACTTCCCTGGCTCGGAAGGTGGTTGAGGAATGTAAACTCATTCATCCCTCAAAACTAAATGAGGTGGAACAGCTGTTGTACTATCTGCAGAACCGCCGGGATTCATTGTCAGGAAAAGGTAAGCAGAAGAATTCTTGACTTTTTAATGCAAAACGAGTTGTTTGACTATATAGTTTGTACTTTAGATATTTGAATGGTGGTTTTGTTTTTGTTTTTGCCAGTGCTATGAATAAGTATAAATGAAAGAATAAACAAACATTAGTTTCCTACATGTTGGGCTTTATATTAGATGTTTCCACACAAAACGATGTTTCTGTTTCATACTCTGTGTGTGTGTGTGTGTGTGTGTGTGCGCGTGCGCTTGTGTGCATGTACACATATGCTAAAATAAGGAATACAAGCAAATGTCTGTCATATTCTAGAATAATAAAAGGAGAGAATTTGGGACAGAAAACCTATTTTCTCTGCTCCAACTAGATTTATATTTTCTAAATTTTTTATTGACATTTAATTTATTATTTGAATGGATTACTTAAGGATCTAAATGTTAAAATATATGTCGTATGTGCTACACCGGACTAAAGACATGTTTTACGAATCTTTCTTAAGAAAATATTCCCCCTTCATTCCTCAACGCTCCTATTGTTGCCATTCCTCTGCTTTTAATTCCCTCATAAAAGCACCAAGCCATTCAAATATTAGAGCTAAGCATTTGGTTATTTATAGAGACATTTTTAAATAATCTAAACCAATAATGAAACAAAATAGAAACATTTAAATGGAAAGTCACCTTAGATTATTGAATGGTTACTTAATTCGGTTTCATAGTATGTATTAAGTTTACATATCTTTAACTGTGGGTTAGTTCCAAAATATGGTGCCCTTGAAATAACTTGTAAATGCTTCAGTTTTTATTGTACTAATATGAAAAAAATGAAATAAAATTTAATTTGTTTAAGTCAGTCAGCCTTCTCTCTCTATTCATAGCAAATAAAACGCCTTGTGACTAATATATACTTTTATTAGTTAGCCCTAAATACAGTTACTAACTCACATTATATGATCAATATATATTTGTTGAATGAATCAAATTGCTTTTTTTATTTAAAAGCAAAATTAAGCATGTTGAACTTGATTGCTTTCAACAACATAGCTGGCACTCAGTATATACTTGTTAATAATAATTAATAATAAGTGCTGTGAGGAAAATGTCAAGAAGAATTTTTATTAAATATTTTATGATAGAATAGTCTTGCTAAGATGTCTATAAATGATGAGAGAACATCTTCGATAATTTAAGTAAGCAGAATAAATCCTGTACTTGTTAAAGATGTGTGATATCTATTGTTTGGTTGTACATTATACAAAACTGATCTTTCCTAATGCCGAATTAACATTATTCTGATGGCATTTATCATAAAATACCTTTAAACTAATGAAAACGCCTTCACTGAGTTTTCAGGGTAAATCTGTCTTCTTACCTCCTTCCTTAGAAATTAGAGGAATATGAGGAAATTTTCATGTCATCATACGTGGAGAAGTTAATTCAAATCAGTATCTTTCTCTATGTAGATATTAATATTTCAAGACATGATATGCTGTACTGTATTAAATATATACACTATATACTTACTTTTAAAAACTACTTAATTTTTCTTTTTTACATAGTATTCACAATTTCTCAAAGCCAAGAATTTTGCCCTAAAAGTGATTGAAGCAAAATAATATGTATTTGATTATATGATTCTTTACCTTCAGTGAATTTTTTTCTTTGCTTAATTAAAATCACTGTTATAGTAAATTATTTGAGGCAAATCTAACTGTTGAGAAAACATAACCTTATCTAGAATGGCTACTATCCTCTGAAAATAATCAGGACTAATTCCTATTATATATAAAACATATTTAATAATTAAAAAATCAAAATTTTGATACTCCTTTAACATATTTTAATGTACATGCATTGCTGAGGTTTTTAACCCAGATCAGTAAAGTATTTTTGATTTTTTTGTTAGAAAATAAAATTCTATGACTCAAATAATTGGGTGTAACAAAGGGCTCAAAGTTGTGTTCAGCACCTTTAGATGCTACTTTAACTTGTTTGGGAACAAGTGAGGATTAACACAGATAGTAAATATTTGCCTTTTAATTTATGATCCTAATTTTACTTGTTTAAAAAATTCAGTTCGCAACTATTCTTAATTTTAGCTTTTAACTTTACCCAAGTACTTTCTTTTTATTTTCCCTTGTTAATTTTCATTTTAGTTTTTATATTATTCATCTCATGTATTTTTATTTGCCTTATTGATTTTTCTATTCCCACCTTAAATGTGAATTAAGAGGGGAGAAAGAGAAAACTTGAGACTATTTTGCTTCTTGTTGACAAGTCTGGCTATTTACATACCCCGAAAGTTAACCAAGGCGGAAGTTAAAATTGCTGCCTACATAACTTGGGGATTATTTGTAGATTTTTATTTATTTGTATTCTCCTTGATATCCTCAGTAGAACAGATAGATTATAGATAAGCATTTTTAATGCATCAGAAAAAAGATTATTTCATAAACTATTCAGTTTTAAGATCCCCAGCTTAGCTAGAATTAAACTCAACTGCCAAAAATAAAAATTACCCAGAAACCCTAAAAACCTCGTTCTCATTAAAAAAAAACAACTGTCTTTTTACAGAAAAAAAAGAAAAATCAAGCAAGCCTAAAGATCCACCTCCTTTTGAAGGAATGGAGGTAAGACTATTCTGATCTAATAGAAAACTGATTTTAAGGTCTTGCTTTTTACCGTCAGTAATTCATACAATCACATTGAACAGATGTGGATTTTTTTAAAATGATTGAACTTAGAAGTACCTAAAAAAGATAGAAAAATAAGTATTTAATTGGTAAAGCAAAAAATTATTGGGTTTTTTTTAGACATAACTTATTTTGATAGAAAAGTAAATTGTTTTAAATATTCTTATTGCAAGATGTTTTGAAATATTGCTTATTATAGCAGATATAAACTATTTTTCATTACATTTAAGATACTTTGTATTGATAGACCAATTTTAGAGTTTGTGTACATCTCGTTTTATCATATGGTTCATAACTATTTTTGTACTGGAGCCTAGCACCCACAGATCCAACTTCCCCCTCTACACAAAGATGGAACTATGAGTCATTTGAAAACTTGCCTATTATTATAAAGGGCAATATATTGGTCACAAAATACCATTCCTTTGACAGTGGCTCTGTTAAGCATTATTGTTCTTTTGGAGTATTTTCTAGCTCTTCCTCTGTTTCAGATTGATGAAGTGGCTAACATTAATGACATGGATGAGTACATTGAGTTGTTATATGAAGATATTCCTGACAAGGTTCGGGGTTCTGCTTTGATCCTGCAGCTTGCTCGAAATCCTGATAACTTGGAAGAACTACTATTAAATGGTAACTTAGATTTATAAATGTTGAAAATAGAAAAATCATTGCAAAATATGATTTCTAAATTTATGTTAGAAGAACAAGCTAAAATTATTACACCTCAGTATCACTCAAAAAAAAATTATTTATACCAAACTTAGGAATGCACTTATTTTCCAGCTCTTTATTACCTTTCTTCTTATTCAAATTTTTAACATGAGAGCGTAATATTTGAATAGTCTCTGGAGAATTCACAAATCATTTAAATAATGGAACTCAAGCATTAACGGTACTATATCTTTTCTTTCTTCTATTTTTTTAATTAGGATACAGTATCAAACTTTTGACATTTGTGTACATATCTGTATGCTTTTATTAAATTAGTTAGAGTTCCAATGTTTTCTTTCGGTAGCCCAGGAAAAGATATTAATGTTTATAATTTCATTTAGATTGAATTTGCTTTCCTCTCATTACAAGGGGTAGGTAATAAGAAAAAGGTGATGCAATGCTTTTAAAACCTTTTTTCTCAGTGATAGCACTACAGAATTATTTTAAATGCATAGTTTTCTGAGATTATACGTTTGCCAAAAATAAAATATGGAAGATGTCATCGTTATCTGACTCCATCACATGAGAAAGAATACCTTTTCATCTGCTGTGAGACTCCTTTTTATGGGGGCACACCAATTCTTTGTGGCTTGGAAAGTATACACAGAGATCTGTCTGGGAGTCCTAGGATATTATCAGTATTCCAATTAGGAAATTTGTACATTTTAAGTATTTTGTAAATTATACAACTCATATTAATATACATTTTTAAAAGAATGAGAATATTATAGATAAGACCCTTTTGACTTATTCTATAATTCATTATGAGTTTGCAGTGCATTCATCCACTTCTTTTTTCATACTTTTACGTATATGTGAGTATATGTTTTTTTCTGTATTAAAATATAGAGTATTGCCTTATGAATTTTTATATTAATTATATCACACTTCTTGGTAATTTTTTCTCCATGCAGTAATATTTTGCCAGTTTGACTATGATGTGCTTAGGTGTGGATATCTTTGAGTATATTTTGCTTGGAGTTTGCAGAGCTTCTTGGGTATGCAGATTAATGTTTCTCATCAAATTCGGTGCGTGTTTGGACATTGTAGTGTTAAGTCTTCATTTTGCGTTTTTCTCGCCTCTCGTGCTGGGACTCCCATGATGCTCATGTTCCTATGCTTGTCGGTGGCCCCAGGTCTTTGTGGCTCTGTTTATTTATTGTTCATTCTCTTTTCCCTCCATTCCTCACACTAGATAATCTTACATGACCTGCTTTTCCATTCGTTGATTCTTTTTCTAGTCCACATCTACTGTTAAGATGTCTAATGAATTTTGCATTTCAGATATTGTATTTTGCCGTTGCGGAATCTCCACTTGGTTTATTTTTTTAATAATTTGTATCTTTGTATGATACTCTTTGATGAGACATCGTTCTCTTACCTTCTCATACTTTCTTTCGATGTGCTTTCCTTTAGTTCTTTGAGTATATTTACAAGAGTTGATGTAAAACCTTTGTCCCATGAGTTCAGCGTCTGAGCTTCCTCGTGGGCAGTTGCTGTTGACTACTGTATTTCTTGATGATAGGACATACTGTCCTGTATCTTTACGTATCTCCTATTTTCTTGTTCTTGTTGTCGAAATAATATCGTGGAAACTCTGAAAATCTGATTCCCAACCCCTCCAGGACTTGTTATTTTTGCTGTTTGTTTGTTTAGTGAGTTTCTTGATTCTGTATTCTTTGTGCAGCCACTGAAGCCTCTGGCTCAGTTAGCTTAGTGGTAGCTAATGATTGGATAGAGGCTTCCTTAAATGGCTGGCACTTAAGTGTCCCAGCCTTTGCTTAGGGGCTCTGTGTATGTGTGTTGTGACATGTCCTCCGTGCTCAAGCGGGTAGTTTACAAGCCTTAGCCCTCACTTCCTGCTTGTACATTGCCGCGAGGTTGGTCAGAGGTGAGGGATTAGGTCCTTCTCTGGTCTTTCTGTGGTATGTGCACATCCCTCCACATTGTGCATGACCTTGTAGAATCCTAGGAATATGTTGGAGCTTTCCAAAGATCCTGTGAGTATCTCATATTCTAGTTTTTCCTTTTAAAATTTTTAGTCAGCCTCTCGTTAACTCCAGCTGGCAAGGCTGCTGCTCATGACTGCAGTGTTGCCACTAGTAGTTTTCAAAAATGCCCTGGGAATGGAGCTTTGCAGCAAGCATCAGGATAGGTCGGATGGTGACAGTCGTCTGGAGTAGGGATTTTGGGGAGTGCCAAACTGTTCTGTTTCCTGTAGTTGCTGCTAAGCTACAGTTTTTCATAGATATAGTGATTTTCTTCAATGTTATTTTGAGATCACTTTAACATATTCTCTAAAAAATCATAATGGAATTTTAATTATGCTTGTATTCCACTTATAAATTAATTTTGTATTTTGACCTTCTGAAACTAATTTTCTTTTGGCTATTTATTGTTAACCCATATACAATTCCTGTAGCTGTATTTTTATTGAGATATTTCTCTATTCGATACTAAAGGAGAAAAATGAAATAAAATTTGGAAACTAGGTCACTAAACATATGCTTAAATTTATGACATGATAGTACATCATTTTCCAAAGAATATTCTAAGAAATATTATTTCCTTTGGCTTATAGTGGTGAAATGCCTTTGGTAATACAGGAATAAACAAAGTTAAACCAGATTCTTTGTTAAATAGGACTTTTGGCAGCCTTTGCTCTTAATATACATTGCATACCTATTTACTTAACTCCAAAATGATTTTGGAGTCGAACATATATTACACCGGTGCTCTGCATTATGAATATGAATAACATTATGAAATGCCATTATAGGATTTTTTTAGTTTGATGAAAAAATGTCTTACTAAGTGGATTAATGACATAGTGAATTCTTGCTTCACAATCCGAATTGCCGGAAAGTCAAATAAACTGAACACTTTCATTACAATAATAAATACTGATAATGTAGTCAATGAAGTATAATAGATCTTGAGTGCCAATCAAAGAAAGTTGAATTAAGAAAAACACACAGATTTTTTTTTAACATTTATTATTTTAAGAATTGGTAAGTCATGTAGCAACACTAATTTAAAACCAGTCTCATTACTTTATATCTATTTAATATGTCTACTTAATATTCCTGTTAATCAATTTATTAATTTCACCTTTTTCAAGATAAAAATCTAGCAGGGATGTTTATAAATCTACCCTGAAGCTAATTTTATGAAAGATTTTTTGTTTTATTTATGTCTGTTGGCATCAATTTAACATGATATTAAAAATATTAGACATTTTTCTGCGTATAAGTTTTATTTGGTTATTAATTTACTTTAATGGAGCTAGAGTTAGCCTACTAAACTGCTCATTATTTTTTTAGAGTTGCTCTGGTTTTTTTTTTTTTTTTTTTTTTTTACTTATTCACAAACACCCTAAATCAGATGTTAAAAAAGAAAAAAATTGGTACTGCTGTAGCAAGATTACAGGTGGAAATGCAACTCAAGAAATAAATGGTCTTATTATTTTATTGTTACCCATAGTCTATATATGTTATTTTATCTAAATCATATTTTTCTGTTTACAGTTATACACTTAAAGCTGAATGTTAGGAGTTTTTAAGTAGAAGTTGGATTTCAGTTTCAAAAATAGCTTCTGTGTTGGAAAGAAGCATCCTACTTTTTTGTCCCAGTTCTATCCTTTGTTATTTATTAATAAGTAGACATTTAAAACCAATCACCCTTTGTTCCAGAGGCAGGCGAGTGATTATTTCTGTACTTCCCTGTTTTCTGTAGAGACGGCCCTTGGCGCATTAGCCAGAGTCCTGAGAGAAGACTGGAAGCAAAGTGTTGAGTTAGCTACAAACATAATCTACATCTTTTTTTGTTTTTCCAGGTAAGTATAAAACTTAGGAAATGAAAGTGGCTAGCCTGTCTGTATTTCTCTGTTTGCAGCATGGGTTTAGTCTGTAGATGACTGGTGTACTCAGTCTTCTGTGTGTCTGCCCGTGCTTTGCCGCTGAGCTCTTACTGATCCCCATTTTCTGTCCCCTCTGTTCTGTCTTTCAGTCAATCCATACTCACTCACCCAAGCGCATTCGTGCATACGTGCACGTGCGCACACACACCCAGAGTAGGAGAGTATAATGGTCGAGAGGCATAGAATATGGGCTCTGGAAGTAGAGTGTCTGCATTTGAATCTAAGTCTTGCTATTAGCTGTTTGGTCCTAGTTACATTACTTAATGTCACTGTGCCTCGCTTTTCCTCATCTGTAAACTGAATGGTGATAGTAGCACCCCCTTCAGATAGTTTTTAGAATAAAGCCTAACCCAGAGTAAGTACCAGTAAATGTTATTTTACACACACACACGCACATGCACACACACACACACACAGCTATGTGCATGCAAACACATACCTGTTACGCATCTATATATTTTACATGTATATTCTTTAAAAGATGTTTATTGAGACATTGTAAAAAGTTTCTAACCAAGTCCTAGAGAATTGCCTTCCTCTATTCTAAAAATGTGTCAGCATTAGATTAAATTAAATATTTACTGAATAAATACTTGGATGAATTAATTATCTAGGAAACATGCAAAACCCAATTGCTAATACTTTACTAGTTTATCCTCTGGTATCAGTTTTATTCAATAACAGTTTTGTTATGTTATTAGCTTTGTTAGATGGTAGTCTAAAATTTTATTTTGAAAGTATCTGAATAGTTCAAGTCATAGTTAATTGTAAATAATGTGTTTTATTTAATTTATAACTTAAAAATAATTTCATTTCAGGGAAAAGTAGTATGTTAAAATATAGTTAAAGTAATCTCATAATTTTAAGTCTTCCTAGTAAGCTGTGGGTGTGTTCACTTATTGAAATATGTATGGTAAATTTATTTTCTATATTATTTGTACCAGTGTTTATCAAAAGCACATTTCCTGAACTCACAAAATGTCTTCCTTTAAGTGCATACTAAAATCTCTTCTTTAAAGCTTTTCTCAGTTTCACGGACTTATCACTCACTATAAAATTGGAGCTCTCTGTATGAATATCATTGATCATGAATTAAAAAGACATGAGCTTTGGCAAGAAGAACTTTCTAAGAAGAAGAAAGCTGATATCCTTTTAGAGCGGCATTTCACCCCACTGTTGCCTGTTGCTATGAGCTTTGGATGGATGCGGTTTTTGTTTGCTTGTTTTTGTTTTGTTGGTTTTTGCCATTCACATTACTTGGGAAAATGCAAGAGTGTTTGGAAGGTTAAGATGGAGTCTGAAACTCTCGGAGTGAATATAGTTTGACATACACTTTTCGTCTCTTTATAACTTTGATTAGTTGATAAGACAGAGGAAGCAAATAATAGTGGTCCTAGATAATTGAATTCATGAGTCTCTAAGTAGCTACACTTATGTTTCTTAAGATCCTTTAGCTGAAGGCTGGCTCACCATGGGCTCATGTATTTCTTTCTGTGTAATAGGTGATTTTGATTGGAATGGGTGTGAACTTAATGATGAACATAATTTTAAATTCTATTTTTTAAATTAAGGGCAAAAATACTTTTCTTAAACGTTCAAATTTGAGGTGCCTGCAGAATGGGAGAACCTGTGAAAGAAACCTTTAAAATGATCTATTTTAACCTGTCAGTACAGGAATCTTTTCTGCAACTTCCCTTACAAATGAGTTATTTAGTCTCTTCTTGAACAATGTCACTGCATATTGTCTTAGCTTATTCTGTGGTTTGGCATTCTGTTTATTATAATGTTCTTTGCTTAGTGTAGTAAATTCCACTCCCCAATAACTTCCATCCCTAGGTCCTAATCTTACATACAGAAGTAATATAGAATAAGAATATTTTCTTGAACATCGCGTTTCTTATATTTGAAGATGTTTATCATATTGTCTCTACAACTTACTCTTCTAGATTGAAGGCCCTGGTTTATTCATAACTGTCCTTATATGACATGTTTTGCAGATCAGCAAGCCATATTGATAACTTTTCTTAGAACCCCAAATTTATTGATCTCTCTTAAAAGGTAAAAATATTATTCCCATTGTTCAGAATATCATGTTTCTTACCTCCCCTTCATGGAATCCCCAAGACACTGTAAAGATATATACCTTCACATACTCACGAGCTTTGATTTTTCTTAATTAGGGTCTTTCCATGTTTAGAAATTTTCTATGTAAAGTATAAGTTATGACACCTCGATTGGTATTGCCTTAAACTACAGGGACAACTCAAAAATCTTGGAGAGTTTAGATTACTTCTGGAGTCCCACGTCTCCTGAGGGCACCCAGAATTCATTTACACTGGAGGGGTGAGGAGAGGGACACTAATGGGACTACATTGTGATTGTTTGGGCACAAGAACCGATGTTTTAAGACATTCTGTATTCCTCTAAATATCAGACGCCACTGGTTGTAAGATACACCACTATTTATGAACCACTAACAAAGAAAAAAATGCTTCCAATTAAACTATGTGTTATCATGGATTATAAGACAAATCTGAATTCTAGAGATATTATAGTGTTGGCAAAAGTGTCTTAGGATCAGTAGATTACAGTAATTGAAGAAATATAAAAATGACCTATCAGAATTTTGACCACTTCTAATATATTACTGTTTTATTAAGTCAGGCTAGAAGATGTAATTTAAAAATTTTGTTTACCTCTAACTTTGGGATATTTCTGTTTTGGCATCCAGTCTGAAGAGGGTGCTAAAAGCTTTATATCTAATCCATATTTCTCTGAAGAAGAATCCAATATTCTTATTAACTAAATCATTCTGTAAGGCAGTAATCTTTTTGGTACATGGACCCACTTGATAATTTGTTGAAAGTTAGAAACTTGTACACATACATAGAATATTTGCATATGATTTCTGGGAGCTCCAGTATTTGGTGAAGCCCAAACATGTGTTCACCCAAGGACTCCAGGGCCATCCTAGAACCCTTGGTTAAGAAGTCCTGTAATAACACAATCATTGAGCAGAGAATAAGATTTTCGTTAAACTATTGGTTAGAGAAAATAACTGGATAATAGTATTGTTCTTCATAGTATTTTAATAGTACTGTTCTTCATAGTATTTTTCAGTAGATTTTCTTTGCTTCAATGAGTATGGATGATCCTTAACTTGTTTACTTGATGAAGACCCTGAAAACCAAACCTTGAGGAAAGATTATGAAAAAACCTTTAAAAAATACCAGGGACTTGTAGTAAAACAGGAACAGCTCTTACGAGGTATGAATTCTTAAGCAATGAGAAAAGCAACAAAGTGCTTATTCTACATTGAGTTTATTCTATTTTTTTTTTTATCAGATCAGTATAGCTAATACCAGAATAACTGAAAGTTTTATTAATTTTAATATGCAACCAATTCTTCTATTTTATCTGTAGGTAATAATGTTTTAAATATCACCCAACTCTTTCACACCAAAAGGCCCCATTCAGCTTTTAAATGTATATATACTTGTTATTTTTTTTTAATTCAGAGATGATTTTTTTAATCCAGTGTGACTTTTCAATAATGAGAATCTTGTGTTTCAAACCCTAACATACTTATATAGTGAATTATTTTGTTGCTTTCTTAGGAAATTGGTGTAAAATTTTTCAAAATATTTCTCCTGTGTAATGAAAAATAGTCTCATCTTTGCGCAGTTTATTGAGAGATGTTCACTAGTTTGGTTTCTCAGGCTTTCAAAAGATGCAGAATATTTTGAAGATTAGTGAGAATGATGTGAGACTTTTAAATGTACATTCAGTTTCTTCTTTGTAGCTATTGATATTTTTCCAACTTTATTGAGATATAGTCGACATATAGTGTAAGGTGTACAAGGAAATGATTCCATACATGTATATATTGCAAAATGTTTAGTACAATAAGGCTAGTTCGTACATCCTTCACCTCAGATAATTACCATTTCATTGTTGTTGTTGGGGTGAGAAGGTTTAAGTTCTACTCTTATAGCAACATTCAAGTGTACAGTACAGTATTGTTAACTGTATACAGTCACCATGCTGCCCATTAGATCCCTGGGTTATTCATCTCATAACTGAAAGTTTGTACCCGTTGACCAGGGTCTCCCCATGTCCCCTACAACTCAGCCCCTGGTAACCATCAGTCTACTCTGTGTTTCTATGAGTTCAACTATTTTAGATTCTACATATGTCAGAACATACAATATTTGTCTTTTCTCTGTCTGATATATTTCACATAGCATAATGCCCTCAAGGTTCATCCGTGTTATCACAAATGGCAAAATATCCTTCTCTCTTTATAGATGAATAATATTCCATTGTGTATATATGTATGTACACATACATATATATATTTATATATCACATCTCTTTTATTCACTCACTCATCAGTGATCACTGAGGTTGCATCCATGTCTTGACTATTATGACTCATATGAGTGTAAACTTCTCTTTGAGATCATTATTTCATTTCCTTTGAACACCTATGCAGAAGTAGGATTGCTGTAAAATGTTTATAATACTTTCCTCATAAAATTGTCTTAAAAGTAAAATGGGTTACTATTCACATATCAACTAGTACAGTGCCTGGCATACAGTGGGTACTTAATTAGTGTGAATTGCCTTTCCAATATTTGTGAAATTAATTAAATGTAATATTTATATATGTATGCATATATTTCTATTTATAATGGTTTAGAGATGGTTTGTAAGAATACATGAAATGGAATACTAAAATGATGAGTAAAATCAAGGCCATAGGAGAGCACAAAGATTATGTTGACCATAATAGCCTATATAATTCTGACCGAAACTTTCGAAGTGTTAACTGAGGCTTTCTTTCAGGGCAAAATGGAAAACATTATCTGTTACCTAATCCTCACTGTCAAAAGAGAACAATTATTTGAGTTATGAGAATGTAATCATTTTTATTACAAGTATCTAAAAGAAATTTTACCTAGAACTAGTGGACAGTGACTTCAACTTTGTCTAATGTCACAGTTATATTACTGAATTTCATATGGCCATTTCCTGTAGTGACTCTCAGAAAATCAGTCTGAAAATTTTAAATGTTTTAATATGCTCAAATTCAGCTCTAGCTGTATGATACATTTTGGATTATAGCTCTTTTTAACATGGCCGCCTCTAGTTGTTGAAGTTTTACCTTGTTTTTTACATGTATAAAATTATTTTTCCCCATCTGCCTGATTTATTATTTGCGAACATATACCTTTAATTGCCATTTGATTATTATTAAGCTCTAAGCTTCAAGAGGGTGGAGATCATTGTCTTATTTGAGTTATTGTGTCCTCGATATCATACGATTATTATTTTACATAAATCATGTTTTATTTCATATAACATATCACTAGCAATAAATGTTTTCTAATGGATGAATTAATAACCGGTTAAAATTTCAAAATCACGTATTCTTTTCTGGGGACTGCGTGTGTTACTTTGGCGACGGGAGGGTCATCGCACTGCCAGGTCAACGCGCCGGTCACGTGGCTCTCTCTGCCCCCCCCCCCCCTAGTGGCTC